ACTCGAACAACGGGTATAATTCGTTCATAAAAAGTTTTTTCAATTCCGGAATAATTTCGAACCCGACCTGTCGTTACACTTGCATTCAGGGTTTGTAAAGTACAGACAGTGTATTTTTTGCGTATGGAAGACCACACACTTCTCTCTTAAGATTAAACCATACGGGGTTCATAAATTCTGGCAGTGGATTTGAACCATACTGCTAACTTTACAAGCATATTGGTGATCGCAATGACTTGACGTTTTATGAACGGTCATGTCACGGCATTAAAAATCTCACAATTTAAATCGCTTTTTAGAACCAAATTATACTCTTCTTCTCGAGCATAAAATCGAAAAAATTAGTTTTCTACCGAATGAACAAAAGAATGAATATGTTAATTTATGTTTTCTATGAAATATAATTGAATTTTTAGGGCATCGAAAATCAATGAAAAAATCCATGCCAGTTAAGTAGTCATTTTTCCAGAATGCGGTTTTTGCGTGCAGCCGGAAAGACGTTAATTCGCTAGCCGTCATCCTGAGGTAACCGAATTATTACAGATCACGCTGCATCATGGTCTGTTTTACAACCCCTATTAATTATTCTTTTCGAAACGAAAACACATTTCTGAATATCAATTGACATTTCATGCGTTAGCCCACCAACTGCATGTGTATCCAATGATCGGCCATGATACCAAATACAAATTAATTTACCAGTACTTTTTTCTAGTACAATGAACATAGCTGATTGGAACTACGATCAGACGTTAGATGGCAAACCGGCAGTTCGATCGTTGTTACCGACGATGCCCCACAGCAAAATGGGCACAGTGATGGGGACTTCAGCAGGAGTCAGCATATAATGATAGTAGGCTTGTTCTGCATCTACTGACATTTTGACGCCCTGTCAAAACAGAACAAAGAAGGCCGGAAATGGGATCGGGCGCAGATGCCGTCGCGAGCTTGCGCCTAGGCGCGCCACCACACCCCCATGGGAGCTCCGCGGTGCCTGAACCCGGTGTCGGTCCAGCGCAACTCTCACGTGGCCCTTTGCAGGGGGTCAGCAGACTACCCTGCTTGAAATTATGCATACAAGGCTTCGTGCTTTTATCCGTTTTGTCAAAATGCTCATACAGAAGCTTCTTGCCCTGTCTTCGAAGTTTCAGCAACCGCTGTGCTTCCTTTTGTCTATCCCTCTTTCCCTGACATGGCACCCACAATGGGCGTTCACTCTATTTCCCAGAATTATGGCTGATGAATGTACGCATCAGTTATGCTGACTTCCAATATTATCTCTGATTACCATTAGAAGTGCCGAAATTTACATTGCGCATTGAATCACTTTGGCATTCACCTTCGATTTTTGAATTTCAGGTAATCAACTGCAAATCAGATAAAACCTCAAACTTGACGCCGTCTATGTCTGCCCCCGAAACTTCCCTCAGTAAACGTATGATGCGCATTGAATAACATCGTTGCCCACTGAGACCGAATGAGGACTTCACCGCATATGTCCTTTTCCCAACATCTCAAGTAACCCTAACATGTCAAAAATATCACCTGATTTTTCAATAGGTATCTTTCTTTAAAGGTTATTCGTATGAAACTATTGCCTTTGACAGTATGTGAGCGATGGGAAGTAAATATGTACATAAGCATACTGTTTATCATTTAAACCCCTAACGACTATCTTTTCTGTGAAATAACTGACTGCTTCCTTTTATTATTTTCTCACATCTGCGAAATAAAATGCTACTAGAGTACCTACCGACTGATAATATTCTTACTATTCGTAATCAAAAGTCCAGTGTTCGCAAGTGACTACACTTGCCGCGTGAACATGAAGTAGTGCGTAGTGAGGATGACTTGCGTGGAATCTACTGCACTCGCTCCCCATTTGCCCACCTTGCTCCGTAAGTAGGACGATGTCAAGACGGCTGGAGATGGAGTCGGGCGCCATGGCTGACAAATTTAAACCTTTCGCCTAGGCGTACAAAACAAACACGACCTGGTCCCAATAGATGAACGGTAGTTTCGTGAAGGCGAATCGGATCTCACAGAGATGAGAGTGTCATACATAAAAGGTCACATTAACAAGGTACTGTTTCAGCCTTACTCTTAGGCCCGAGAAGGATCTTCTTCTCAAGTCAGTTAACAACCTTCCGAACTATGACCATTGGCGCGTCGTGATAGATTTGGATACATCAGGCTTATCATAACGAGAAAGGCGCTGACGTACTATGAGGATGAATTCCAGTGCGTTGTCTTTGCTCGAGCCGACATCCGAGCCAACTAGTCGTGGAAACGGTCGCACTAGCTGACGTCTCATGGAAGCCAATGACTAAGGTAGATCTCAAATAGATAGATATATAGGCAGAATGGCATTACCGACAAAGACAAGGGAGACTGGAATGGCTATTTCTGGCTTATTAGCTAGTCATACCGAAGCCCGAAGTATGGAACACCCGAGCCTCGAACTCGCGACCTGTTAGTTAGAAGTCCATGCCTCTAACCACTGCGCCACGAGTCCGTTGCCCTGTCGGTTTTCGATCGGGAATATACAATGGTAATACCATTCTGCCTATATATCATGCGCCGCTGTGCGGCTGCTGGTTAGGCTCGAGAGAGAGCCCTTAAGGCACAACGGAACGCGTAAGTTCCGTATGAACGATCGGTGAGCGCCCCCTACCATTATAACTAGATATGTATACCTGGGTAGACTTGCATTACACGCAAGGACAAGGGGATCGCGGTGGACATTTGGGCTTATTAGTCATCATCAGCCAGACCCACCTAGGTCCAGGGGATTGGGCCTCGAATCCTGCAAAACCTGGAATTTATTATGGCTGGCTGATGCCAGCTGATAGGTCCGAAACGGCCATCTTAGTCTCCCTTTAATTTTCCGGAAATGCTATCCCGCTCATTGGGGCTGACGAGCGAGGTGACTTATGACGAGGCGGACGACTTGCATTGCGCCTACGCCGCCTCTCTCACTTATCTCAGTCATATCCCATTGTGCAAGGTCAGAAATGCGGAAAATGGACAGGGATGCAATGAGTGCGTTTACATGGGCTACAAGCCCGAAGCAGACTAAACAATCTGAACCTCCGCACCGAACGCAGCTGCCATGAGGGAACCATTACGGTCTGATATTCAGGTCGAGGAGAACCACAGTTTCTCTTCAGTTGGTGAACTTCCATCGTTCCGGTATCTGAGACTGTTTACTCGCTGGTTATTTTGCGTTGAACCCAAACTCGATCGACCTCACATTCTCTTCCGGCTTCTGCGCTAAGTAAAAATCATTTTCATGAGATGGAATACCGGGCCTAACGTGGAGTATAGCAAAAGCTAGACTGCATCATATCTGGCTGTCAGCGGCTTTATGACGCTGATGTGTGGGCGGGGGGTGGGCGATGAGATTTCGGATCTGTGCTGAAGTACTTGACTACTTGACCTTTGACAATCTTGTCACGTTTGTTTTACTGTGGCATTTGTTTTAACGTGACGAGGACTCCGCCGCTTGTAAGCTTCGCGCCGCTTGCGTGCTCTCTGGCTAGGCCGTTGCATATTTTGAATATTAACTTTATTCACTTGCTGGCCTTCCTTACCTCTCTCCGTTCATGAGGTTAGTAAGCCGTAGTTCGTTAGTTCGCGGGAACAGCATAACTTACGTCAGGTCTGTGGTTCAGAACTCGTTACTTTGTGCTCCGACAACCTTATCCGTGTTTGAACATTACCTTCTGACAATTTTACGCACTTTAACCAGAAGGATTCAAGAGAATTTATTTTAGTGCGAAAAAAGTTGAAGATGACAGCCTTACGTTGTCGGAATAATATATATGTTGACGACGGAAGGGTCACTTCAAATCCATTTCAATACGAGGGTTCCAGCGTACTCAATGCCTTTTGGACAAACTGTAAAAGTGGAAAGGGTTCTCTTTTTAAAACGTTAAACAGAAATACCAGAAGATGGCAATGTAGAAAACTGCAGTTTTCTATGGATTATAAACGGATCTACTGACGCACCTAACAGACCAAATGACGCCTTAAAAAATACTTTTATCTTGATCTTATGTCAGGTTTTTTGTAGACTAAAGTTTTGGTAACAGACTTCATTGTAGAATTCGGCACAGGTAGTTTGTAGACTAGTCAGTGATAGGTTGGCGGTTCGCGACTGACGTGAAACGACATGGTTCCTTGCCATATCAAATCGATTGCGATTTCGTTGTTTATTTTTTGAAGGTTTTCATCAAAAACAACATTTGCAATGTAAACCTATTCAAAGTTGCGTCAAAAATCTCGATGATTATTCTTCTCAACAACGACTTGATACTTTATGAATGTGTGTTTTGATTCCTTCCCCTTGGGTGGACGAAATACTGCGAGCAAAGTACTAGGGAATATTTATTTTAATACCTATCCATGGTAGAATAACAGGCAGAAAGGATGGCTATTTCACAGAACAGAACGAGTGAGTCCCGTAAGAACGATCGGTGAGCGCCTCCTACCATTGCATATTCCCGATCGAAACCGACAAGGCAACGGGATCCTGGCCCAGTGGTTAGAGGCGTGGACTTCTAACTAACAGGTCGCGAGTCCGAGGCTCGGGTGTTCCACACTTCGGGCTTGGGTATGGCCGGGTGACGACGGCTAATAAGCCAGAAATGGCCATTCCAGTCTCCCATGTTTCTTTGGCAATAACATATTATTTCAAAGTTGTCATCCCAATTTACTAGGCTTATACGCTTTCATCAAAGAACGGCACAGAAACCTAAGTTCTTTCTGTGATCCGAAATCAGAACTGCCAAAAGGAGTATTTCCGACTTGAAGAGCTGTCACCCAACGGGACAACTTGGTCCCAGTGGTCAGGCTCGAGAACCGAATCCGACTGAGTAACTCTATAACAAACACACCGGGATGGAATCCGAACCCCCTCTTGTTTCTGTGCGAACTTGTCACATTATGAGTGAGCGAGATCGTATGCAAGGCATGTGCAGACTTGCCCATAGCTTACGATGGAGGAGGAGGAGGAGGAGGAGGAGGAGGAGGAGGAAGAGGAGGAGGAAGAGAACAACCAGCTTGCCTTTGCCGTCGTATCCAGCAATGATTGTGGTGACCTAAAAACTAAAGTGTTCAGAAAAGCGACAAATACGATGCAAGTACCGAACTTCAACAGAAACCAGCCAGTCAGCCACAAACGCAGTTATGTAAGGGCGCTCTAGCGGCGTGTCGAACCGCACTGCAGTGAGCCGGAAGACAAGATTGCCGAACAACAATACCGCCGACGGGTCTGCAAAACCAATGGCTACCCGCGCAACTTCGTCAACCGGTGCATACGCAAAAGGGACGGGGGGCCTAACCGCAAGGTCACCAAATTTTGGAGAGCGCTTCCATATGCCAAGAATGTTTCGGAGGCCGTCGGCCGCCTAGTCGCACCACTTGGGGTTGGAGTTGCACACAGGCCGGAGGCAACCACCAGGCGTCAGGTTATGAACCCAAAAGACCCGCTGCCATGGCAAGAAACTTCCGGAGTCGTTTATCGGATCTGGTGCAGTTGCGGACAAAGCAGCTACGTTGGAGGAACCGGAAGACAACTCCGAACGCGAATGGCCGAGCACGCTGCAGTGGTGCGAAGAAATGGCGCCGGCTTTCAAGTTGTGGCTCATTCGACGAGATCCTACAACACATTCAAATTTGACGAGGCCGAAATTCTCGCTTGGGGGTGACAACCACGTTAGCCGGTTGTTGCATGAGTCATGGTTTACTAGCCCTCAGTTCATTAACAAGTGCAATGAACTTCTCTTCCATACTCACTGCTGAGACTTCGCCTAGGCAGAGTAATTAGCCACGCGGGAAGCGCTCAGGTGAACACTGCTCTCAACGCCAGGGTCGGTGGATCAGATGGTCGGGCAACCATCACACCAACATCCAACGCACTTGATGCAATTGCACCAATTAACGACGCGAATGTCAGCCATCAACCAGCCAGCTCACTAAGTGCAATGATCACTGGTGAGGGGGGTGGGAGTGCCACGGTGGCATGGCGGCTGCATCCCATAAATTCTGCAGTCCCTTGTGCATGAACCACCCGCATCTGCGTTTGTCTCTGATGATGGGTTCGACCAGGAATGCGAAACGCCAGGCTAATAAAGCTCTTGTACCAGCGGTGTGTCTCCTTCTTTACGACTGATTCCTGGGACTCCTCTTTTGGCTTTTATTGGCAAGATCGTATGTATTGCTCATAGCTTTATCAGCCACTGTGTCGAGGCCCGTTTCCGTTCGTCTATCCGTAGGACCTGTAGCAGCCGTTCCAGCCCCCCTTTTCTCCGGCTCCGTTTTGTCGGTCGATGGCCGCGACAAGCACTGACAGGCAGCTGACACACGACCACCCACACCGGCTAGAACTGGGACCCCTCCTGTCCAGCTGCAGTGACTCCCGGCTGCCCTCACAACTAGTATCACCTCACGCGCGTCGGACACTCTGGCTTGATACCCGTGAGGCCTTGTGAGTATGCGCCCTCCATTCCTCCCCTAATTTGTCTAATCACACGACCACCACTCAGACCGTCACCGCCTCCTGCTGACCCAGACACTCACACCCGCGTAAACAACACACACCGCGACTGACGCTCTCCGTGAACGGACGCTTTTCTCTGTTGCAAGCAAACAGCCAACTTACGGCAACCTGCCCTGTGTACAGAATAAACTAGTCCTTACAGCTCCCTGACTTCTGACAGTAGACGAAACGAAATTATTGTGCGTGGTTTAAGTTGGTCTCACATCCTTGACCGCCACAGGCCTAGGGGACTGAGGGAGAAGTGCGTGCACCGGATACTGTGCAAGTCTGTTATTATAATGACAGGCGTCCACCCCTCTGTCGAATACGCAGTGGACGCCGACGTCAACGATTTTGGAAATGTTGCATCCGAATGTTTGTTATGCAAAAAAGGTTGCTGAAAGCCTCCTTACCGAAATCGAGATGCACCAACTTCAACAACTCAAGAGACTGATGGACTATGTGGGCCCAAGACGTGCCCATAAAACGGGACATGCGGTAAACCAACGCGGGACCCACATCGGATTCTGACAAGCACCCACACCCACAACAAATGCCAACATTCAGGCTGTGGTAGCAGTCTTAGTTCCAGGCCCAGGTCGCGCCAGTCGGAGTTCCTTTAGCCCTCCGTTTATGTTGTTGTTTGAAATCCTGGTCAATTGTTGCCCTGGGTCAGAGGTTGTGGTGATAGGCCTAGGACGAGCTTCGCTGTATCAGCCACCTGACTCCTTTCCCTCCTCCGATCTTTTTGACTATGTCCTGAGGCCGAATCAGGGTGCGGGAGGATGTGAGTGTGCCGTAGATGCTGGACAAGTCCACCACCATTAAAAACTACCTTACACGCTAGTCATCGTCCCTGTCTCCTCCGCTTCTGGAGCACACAGTGAATACTGTGTGAACTGACAGCCGAAATTTCAGCTCTAGGTTAACGTCAGATCGAGGCAACTGACACCAGCTTCCTCCTTCTCATAACCTTCGAATACCACGTCTACTTCGGTGCTTCATAAAATAAAAAGCAACTAGAAGAAACGAGTTTGGACGTCTACAGGTCCCGTTATGGAAATCAAAAACAGAAGAAGAAGAAGAAGAAGAGGATGATGATGATGATGATGATGATGATGATGCTGATGATGATGATGATGGTGATGATGATGATGATGATGATGATGATGATGATGATGATGATGATGATGATGATGATGATGATGATGATGATGATGATGATGATGATGATGATGATGATGATGATGATGATGATGATAAAGAAGAGGAAGAAGAAGAAGAGGAGGAAGAAGAACCAGAAGAAGAAGAAGAAGAAGAAGAAGAAGAAGAAGAAGAAAGATAAGAAGAAGAAGAAGAAGAAGAAGAAGAAGAAGAAGAAGAAGAAGAAGAAGAAGAAAAGGACCATTAGTCTTCCACCCTATGTTATATAGTGCCGAAGGATTGGGGTGCTGGTCCATTTAAGGAGTGCACTGTGCTGGCATTTCTTGAGATTACCTGACCAATTTCCGTCCAAGTGTTTGCAATGACCATCCACAAGATCTTCCTCTCCAGACAACGTGAAGGCCACAATTCGATCATCTAGGCGGGAAATATTGTTGGCGTAGTGAGTGTAATAGTATTTCCCCAAGTGATACCAGTGTCCTCTTGAAGCATCACTTGCCAACAAGTCTCCGCCCTGCTGTCCAACACCCAGAAATTTGCCGCTGGTCTTTATGTAAGCCCCAATAAATGCAACAGCAGTATCGATAACTGAAACAGAAAAGCAATATATGGTACCTACATTTGGCAAAGTAGACGACGCAGTTTATATATGCAGGCTGCACTTGCCATACCTTGCCATTTTCGAGGGCTGTCAGTTCTGGCTCGAAAGCATTCGCGTACATATGTGGGCGCTAAGAATGCCCTTCGTAAGACGGTGCAATACACTATTTCGTCCTCGTGGACTAAAAAGCCCATTTGAGGAATTGCTCCGGGTAAACCTCGCATCCCGAGATGCTCTAAATGGGGGGTGCACAAAACAGCATTGTTTGGAAAGGATAGGGACTGCATGCGAATTCAGCAAGGTTTCAGTCCAGAAAATGTAATTACAGAGCACAGGACGCGTTGTGCATAATTTGGTTTTGCTGAACTCTATGCCAGGGGAAGTGTCCTGCCATGAGATTGGAGCAATTGGAGACTGTTTCAATAATTTCCACGCAATTGCCGTCTTTTGTTTGGATCTAACAACGACTACCGGCTGGAAAGCTCGTTCAGTTCCCCAGAAATTAGTGCGGCAGTGAAGAAGAAGAAGAAGAAGAGTCTAGCACCGGAACATTTTGTTTATTGTCCGGAGATTTCAGACTCGTACAGGAGTCCATCGTCAGAGGCAGTAGCAGCAACAGCAGAACAAGCGACAGTTATAAGGCATGTAGACCAAGCATCGACCGACGGCGCAAGACTGGAGGTGACTATGCAGGGCTCTGTACGCTGGCGCCAAATCGATAAATCGATTGACCGAGTTCTTATCCGAGGCCCAGGCTTCAATCAAATCTTGGCCTATTTTCTTTCCGGCGTGGGCGTCTGAACGAGGCTGTACGAGTGTGAAAGCTCGGGAAAATAAATAAAGCATTCCGGTGCTCGACTCTTCTTCTTCTTCACTTATGCATACACCTGGAATTCGATATTTCGCCTTTATTAGTGCGGTAACTTGGAGTAAATGTCACGGTGCATATTTTTTACAGCCGCTGCGGATTTTTCACAAACTGCCAACAGACAGTCGGTCGTAAATAAGTATTGATTGACTGACAGGGCATCGGAATACAACCCCCCTCCCCTTATTCCGGCGGGCCTTTGCGCTAACTTCCAGGAGGATTGAGGTTAGAGTTATGGGTAGTGTAAGCTCTAGGGGAAGGTTTTAAGCCAGATTTAAGGCAATGTTAGGATTAAGGTTTGTGTTAGGGTAATGAGAGGGGATTATTTAAATTTCCTGGAATTACGCTAGTGACCATTTATTTTGCCGACCGTTATGAGCATCTAAACGGCGTACTATTTGCAAACGGCAAACAGCCGGTCAGCAATATGTAAATACTGATCAATTTACTTTAATTACATATTCCGGGGCACTAGCACTATTCTCCGTTGGCCTCAATAGCCCATCTCAAAGACAAACAATGATATTTAGTCAAATAAATAACATGAGAGCGCTTCCGTCCATCTTTCTGATTAAAATTCGAGGTCTCTGAACAGTTCGACGGTAAAAGTCAGATAGAATCATATTATTCCGTGACTCAAAGGTGAGAATCGATATTCTTTCTGATAACCTGTCGTACGCAAAATGCAGTCAAAATCTATACTCTGCGTGCAAGCCAACAATTGCGTCGTCCTAGATATCGTGTTCGCATAAGAAAAATATCATTCATCGAGATCACTGCAGCCCAGAAACTGCGGCTCCGTTTACTCACAAATTCAAGTAATGCGCCCTATTTAACTTCCGCACTCCTGCTAGAGCCTTGCAGCAATAAGGTTGGAGAGAAGCCTAGTGGGACTGAATGAGACCACATGGAGGAGTTCGGAGAATTCAGACTTCACCGGCGGACAATACCTGAATTCTATTTTTGATTGGTTAACCAAGAAGTCTGTTACTGGGCCCCTTTCCACTGCAATCTACAGAAAGCTTACCAGATGTAGATAGTTGCTGGATCCAAACCTGGGCCACCAGTCAACAAACAGAGACAGGGAAAGCAGAGTAAACGTCACTAATAGGTATTTAAGTCAGTCAATAGAATGAGTAAAAAGATTAAGTCACGGTTAATTCAGAAGACGGCAGATGACGTTAAAGGGGCCTCCTATGCCATCTGTTAGCGGTGTATTACGAACACTATAATAATGTGAGCATCCGAGAAATTTGCACGGCTTCTAACACGACAGTTCTTAAATTTCGAAATTCAGGGGTTATTCTGCTCATAAGGGTTCAGGTCTCATCTAAATCCAGTTTATAGATGTAAGCAACTGAATACCAGGTCTCATGTGCGAGTCATTCTGTTATTGAGGTGCTTCGGCCTATGGTGGGTGCTCCTTGAACATGCTGCAACAATGGGAACTGAAACTACGTCGGAGAAAATGAACACAAATTGGAGACCCGCCTCCTGGACCACAAACTGGCAGCTTCAAGACTGGACACAAACTTGCAAATTGCATCTCATTTTGGAGAAACTGGCTACAATTTTGACCTTCATGGTGGTCGATTATTTGCAATAAAGGCTGTGAAGATGAGAAAAATGACCACGTTAACTAAAACGTCAGAAACGTTTCTTTCTCAGAGCATTACTATGCGTTTAGAAGACGCACACCTAAAAATCTCCTCCTCTTACAAACAGAACCACCTACCTTCACTGTCATCTGACATCCATGGCAATGACGACATGTGGAAGCTTTTCGTCTGGTTTTCGGCTCCCTCTGTCCCAGAAGCAGATGCAAGAAATGCAGTCACGTGTTGATCCACCGAAGGGTAGCTGTCACCGCTTAAATTAACCAGGAAGGTTAATTTAACCTCAATCACCGCCTCAGTCCCGGGGGTCCACACACCGTTCTGGGAAAACTAGGCGGTAAAAAGAGTCCAAACCAAATATATAGAGTCACGCCAAAGGTTTGCCTGAGTTTTGTCTGTTATTTATGAAAAGGACACATAGGTATACTGAGTAAATACTGAGATGACTGGCATGCCTATTTCTGGCCCATTGTCAATCAACAGCCAACCACAACTCAATCACGGGTCAATCATCCACGGGCTCGCGGACCTGTCCTTTTGCGATCGGAAAAATTAAATAGCGTAGGAAGGAGTTCATCACTAATCTGGTTACAGCGGACGGTCACCAATCAAGTTGGATATTAATCTCTGCGGTAGGGGGCGTTCCCCGATCGTTCTTACGGAACTTACTCTTTCCGTTGTGCCTTACGGGCTCTCTATCGGGCCGGGCTTGGGTATGACTGGCTGACGACGGCTAATAAGCCAGAAAAGGCTTTTCCAGTCTCCCTTGTCTTTTTGGGTAATAACATTAGTTTTTGTGCTTGAGATCTCAGATATGCTGTCTTATAAATTTGATGAGATGCTGGTGGGAGTAAGATATGCGGTCGAAGGGCGCTGGCTCTCCCTTTTCTTTACTAAACCATCATTAGTACAATCTCGAAATTCACGATGGCAGAAGATTCTGGCACGGTCTTTTTGTGGGATGCTGAATGGCTGCTTCCGCGGTCGAGGCTGATCACAGCATCAGAGCTTTTCCTCTGGATGTTTGCTGCGAAGTTTCCATTACTTGATTTCATGTGTGCAAACATTCGCAATAAGAAACTTTTGATTCATGTCTCTTTGCGACGAAATTTTGCCAATGGGAACCTACTATTTGAGCCCTGATGAAATTGTTAGCGTTGCGGCTCCTTAAAATCATGATGGCGTCGTCAAGGTAACGAAGACTAATTTTTATTTAGGACCTCGAATGAAGTGATCTTCTAATCACTATATGACTATTATAGCGAGGAGCTGTTATATTGGCAAGTCGATTTCTGTTTTGATAAACTATAGATAATACTGTCCTTAGGGCATCGATTGAGCGGTTCTAGGTACAAGTCAGTTGAAATATAAGTTAATCAATTAAGTAATAAAACTGTCTTCTGAGTATCAATCAACATTGGGGGAAACAAGGCAACGTCATGGAGGAGATTGCATATTACAGGAGACCTGCATTTGGGTTTTGCAGTATTTGAGAAAATGCAGAAGAATTTTGTATGCCATACTGAGCCCCACCAGTTTAGTGTTAAATACGCCATTCGAGTACCCCATTAGTTTATGGTTGAGTGATCAGATTAGGTGTACGGTAATCCATAATCGAAAACTGTATTCACCCAAACTTTCAAAGTCATTCATACAGTGAGTGGCCGATCTCATGAAATGTTGGCTGAAATTCTGAAATGCGTTTTCGATTAGGAAGGATTACTCGGTCGCGGTTGTAATACTGATTAGCTTGCGGCATACTCTTATAACATTTCGGACAGGGCAGGATGTCGGCTTTTAAATGCACTTTTTTAATCTCCTGTAGAAAGCGTGCCCGGTAAAAAAATGACTACTTAAGTAGCATGCATTTTTCCCATTGATTTTCGATGGTCTTGGAAATTCAAATATATTTTATAGAAACCATAAACAAAATATGCTTTATTTTAGTCAATCAATAGAGAATCACGTCTTATTTATATTTTATACTTAAGAAAGGAGCATAATTAGGTTTTAAAAAAAGTTTCTAGTTATGAGACTTTTTAAGACCGCGAAATGTCCATTCACATAGCATCGCACCTGGCCGTTTACCACTGCTC